GAAAGAATCAGTTGCTTATTTCGCATCTTAAGAGCATTTTGGTTATTCAAAATTTTGACCAATTGGGGGGAAGGTACCAGAAATAGTTGGCCGATATATTCTTTACGCCAGATCTTGGGTTAATAGAAATATTAGGATGTGGGAAATTTGTAAAGAATCGGATACTTATTTTCCATTTTATGAGCATATTGGTTATTCACAATTTTGACCTCTTTGAGGAGAAGGTACCAAAAGCAGTGGTCCAATATATTCCATCTTCCCCCCAGATCTTGTGTTAACAAAAATATTGAGATCTGTTAAATTTGAAAAGAATCGGATGCTTATTTCGCATTTTAGGAGAATTACAATTATTCCAAATTTTGACCTGTTGTGGAGGAGGTACCGGAAGAAGTGGACCGATATTTAGCATCTTTACTCCTGACCTAGCACTGATAAAAATATTGTGATGTGTGAAATTGTGAAAGAATCAGATACTTATTTCGCATCTTAAGAGTATTTTGGTTATTCAAAAATTTGACCCCTTTGTGTGGGAGGTACCAGAAGCAGTTGGCTGATACATTCCATCTTCACACCAGATCTTTGGTTAATAGAAATATTGGTATGTGGGAAATTTAAAGAGAACCGGATGAATAATTCGCATTTTACGAGCATTTTGGTTATTCAGAATTTTGACATCTTTGTGGGGGAGGTACCAGAAGGAGTAGGCCGATATATTCTATCTTCACGCCAGATCTTTGGTTAATAAAAATATTGGGATCTTTAAAATTTAAAGAGAATCGGATGCTTATTTCGTATTTTATTAGCATTTTGGTTATTCAAAATGTTGACCCCTTTGTGGGGGAGGTACCAGAAGCAGTGGACCAATATATTCTATATTCACACCAGCCCTTGTGTTAATAGAAATATTGGGATTTGGGGAAATTTAAAGAGAATCGGATGTTTATCTCGCATTTTATGAGACTTACAATTTTTACAAAATTTTGACCTGTTGTGTGGGAGGTACCAGAAGAAGTGGACCGATATATTCCATCTTCACACCAGATCTTGTGTTAATAGAAATATTGGGATTTGGGAAATTTAAAGAGCATCCGACACTTATTTCCCATTTTATGAGCATATTTGTTATTCAAAAATTTGATAACATTGTGGGGGAGGTACCAGAAGCAATGGGCTGATATATTCCAACTTCACGCCAGATCTTGTGTTAATAGAAATATTGGAATGTTGGAAATTTGAATAGAATTTGATGTTTTCTTCACCATTTTATTGTAGTTATAATTATTCAAAATTTTTGACCCGTTGTGGAGGAAGTATCAGAAGGGCTGGGTCGATATTTACCATCTTCATAACAGATCTTGTGTTAATATAAATATTAGGATTTTCCGAGTTTGAACATAATCGAATACTTATATCGCATTTTATGGGCATTTTGGTTTTTCAAAATTTTAACCTGTTGTGGTGGAGGTACCAAAAGGAGTTGTCCATTCTTTTCGTTCTTCATAACAGATCTTGTATTGGTAAAAATACTGAGGTGTGCGAAATTTGAAAGCAAGCAGGCTTCTCCATCCCATTTTCATAGAAAAAGAATTGAGACCCTGGCTATTACAAATTTTGAGCCTTTGTGAGGTAGGTAATACATAGAGTGCTCCGATGTTTTCCATGTCCCCACCCGACCTAGCACGGATACAAATATTAGGGCCTACAAAGTTTAAACAAAATCAGTGGATCCTTTCTTGTTCTATGAGCTAAAATATTTTATGTGAAAACTTTGATCTTTTATGGGGGAGGTTGCGTAAGAAGTGGACCGATATTGTCCATCTCCGAACTCGAACCAAGTTTGATAATAATATTACGATGTATCAAGCTTGGACCAAGTCGGCTACTTTCTTCGAGAGTTATTGGACACACAAGACAGCCAAATAACCACACAGACACCCCTAGATCGACTCCAAATGTCCTGAAACGGATTTAATCCAAAGAAACCTTGAATCTAAAATCGTTATTTCGATGAGACACGTTTTGGCCGTACCAAATGATATAGAGGGCCATATGGCTGATGAAATAAAAATCAAATTTAAAAAAATGACAATTCCAGTTCCAACGATGACATTGAGTTTCGAAAAAAAAAGACTTCCAAAAGAAACCTGGTTAGAGATTCCAAAAACAGGATATGCCTTCCGTTTTAATTTTCTGTGAAGCCATTAATTTTCATAGGTTGTGTGGAAATATCTTGGCTATCAGAAAATTTTCGACTTTACTTTGTCTGTCCTCAAAGAGATCTTTCGATCCTTTGGTTTTGCTTCTTATGTCTGAAATAAAAAAAAAACATGAAGTTGTCTATTGAACTGTTTACACTTTATTTAGCCAAATTACAACGATATCCTTAAAAAACTGCAACTCAATATCATCTGTCTCTCCCTACTCTCTCTCTTTTCCCTCCCTTACTGATTATTATTCCCCCGCGGCCCGTTTTCGCACCTCTTCCAAATATTTTTTCAACAACATTGCAAACTTATCATCCATATGCTGATAATATTCCGCCTTATCCTCCTTGGGATGATGTTGTTTACGATGTTTGGGTATTTTCGTAACCGTATCGAATGTCTCCAAGCAACAAGGACACGTGTACAAATCCACTTTACGATGTTGCCTGGCCAAGTGTTCGATTATGTGACGTTCATCGTTAAATGATCTCTTACAATCGATACATTGGTATGTCTTTTGAGTAGTCCTTGGTCCTGGGCAATGATGCCGCATTTTGGCATACTTCCGTTGGCAAATATCACAATAATATACGGCAGGATGATTTTTGTGCACAATCCAATAATGATCGTAATAGGAGGTAATGAATTTGGACCTATGATCACACATACTACACGGATGCATGGTATAACCCTTGTCAGTCTTTAACACATTCACGGGATGGTCGAGGGAATGTTTTTCGGCGTAATGTTTCAGCTGATCTTCGTATGATAAACTCCGTAGACCACATAGTTTACAATCGTGACGAGTTTTGTTGCATCTAATGTAATTCCTGCGAGTCAATCCTTGGGATTTTCGGGCCATATGCAGCGTGGGATTGGGTGGATCTTCACTCTCCGAATCTATTTCGACAATAATAATTGGAGATTCTCCACGGCTCGATGGTGATGTTAAGTCTGTGGTTGTGGTGTCATATCCTCCACTCGGTGATTGTTGCAATAGATCTAATGTTGTCACCGTGGAGTCGGATTGTATCTGAATCGCGGACGGTAACTCTGTGTTGTTTGGATAGTTGTCTTTCGACATAGCTATTGTTGAGCTAAGTAGCACTGTTCCACCGCCACCTGCCATTGTTTCCATAGGTTCAGGACTGCTTCCATCATTTGCACCTTTTTCCAATTTAGGTACCAATATATCGAGCAGTTTCAATTGGGCCAATTGTATGGCCGCCTCAAAGCTATGAAAATCCGAAATTTTTTGCCAGCACTGAGAACAAAGGTTACATAAATATGCCGCTTCGTTCAAATTGATAATCTAAAAGAAAGAGAATTGATTTTTAATTTTTTTTTGTAATCCATTAGCTGCGGAACAAATGGGGAATGGTGTTATGCGCACTTTAAAGCTTCAGTTTCAAGAGTAAATATTCGAAATTATTAATAAATAAAATTATATTTTGTTGGATAGTCATAAACAAAAATTTAAAAAAAAAATCGGATTTCGGATTTATTAAAAATCCTATTGGACTTCTATCAAAAAATTTCTCCCTTGGACGTCTCTTATAGAAGACTTACAGATTTTTTCCTTTAGAATATCAACTAGCCTTCTTATAGAACAAAATATCGTATCCCAGAAGCCTCCTAGAAAAGGGTGAATAGGGCTTCTTTATGGTTTCCTTTTAGTTCCCTGAGAACACATTATGATCCTACTATACAGGGTGAGATAAAAAAAAAACATTTTTTTTAAATTTTATTGAATGAAAGCAAAATATGTCGGAAATGGCATGAAATTTTAGAATAAGTTCAGATTTATTCGAATTGATCACTTTTGGCACGAATTACGGCTTTCAAACGGCAAATGAAACGGTCACACGCTGTCCGAATATTGCTCTGCTGTATTTTGGCCCATTCCCGACGAAGCGCTTGCTTGAGGTGATCGACACTTTGGTATTTTTTAGTGCCAACCTTGCTTTCCAAAATACTCGCGACACAATAGTCCAACGGATTGGTATCCTCTGATTTTGGTGGCAATTGTGCGCTGGAAATGAAGCGAGGAACCTCATTTTGTAACCATTCTTGTGGGTGGCGCGTGCTGAGTGCAATGGTGCTGAGTCCTGTTGGAATGTCCAAGGTCTGCGGCCAAAATGTTTGCGTGTCCAAGGCTTTAATACACCTTCCAGAATATTTTCACGATAATATTCGGCATTTATTCTGATGCCATGGTCGATAAATAGGATCACCATGGCCGGCGCTTGAGTTCTGGTGGCCAACAGAAGGTGCATATTTTCAGTTTTCAAAAAGGGACCATTTGAACTTCGCCTCTTCTGTGAGAATATTTTACCAAAAGTTTTTACAAAAAGCAGTAATGCCAAATTTCAAAATATCGACTTTTGGGTTTTCATTGAAAGACCTTGGGATCTTAGAAGACTTTATGTTTTGATAGTTCAAAATGGTCCATTTTTGCATTTCAAAAAACCGGCTACCAAAAAACCGAGATGCTTGGTCTTTTTTGTTAGAACCATTTCACTGATCTTAATCTTCGCCTTCAAATTATTTCTCTCGTTTCAAAACAAACACATTCTTCATTGAAATATCATCCAAATATCCAGTTTATTTTTCCAAAAAAAAAAAATCAACACAATTAACTTATGGGCTCCCCACAACCATTAAATCATCATCGTCATCATTCGTTTTCCTTCGCTGCGACGTTTGAGCTTCCTTCTCACCGCCCACTTTTCTCTTCGACGAATCTCGATATCTGCGACGATCTCGTATTCGTATTAAATCACCAACATAATGTTGATAGGTATTTTTGGTTTTCGCCAAATATTCCTTCAATAGCTTATCGAATTTATAATCCATGTGGAGATAATAGTCCGCCTTCGCTTCATTGGGATGATGTTGTTTACGGTGTTGGGGTATTTTGGTGACAGCATCAAATGTGACCAGACAACAGGGGCAGGTGTACAAATCGATTTTGCGATGTTGCGCAGCCAAGTGCTCGATTACTTCACGTTCCGTGTCAAAGGAACTGTCACAGTCCGAACAATCGAATTTTTTCCCACCGGACGATGAGTTTAAGACAGAAGAAGAATCGTTTTGCTTTTCTGATGATGCGCCTGGGCAGATATGTTCAGAGAATGGATATGTTTTATCGCACGCATCACAATGGTATACGCTTTTTAGGTGCTGATGTTCGAACCAATAGTGATGGTAGTACGACAAGACGGATGCCGCCTTGTTGCTGCACAAATGACATGGATACTTTGGACGTCCTTCGGAGTTTTTAATCGGCTTAATGGGCCGTCCGGTAGAGTGCTTTTCGGAGTAATGTTTCACTTGAAGCTGGTACGATGACTGTTTGTCACCGCATATTTTACAATGGAATTGTATATGCTCCGGATGGACTTTGGAGACATGCAGCTTTAGACTAGATCTGCCGCCATAAAGCTTGCCACACAAATTGCACTTGAATGAATTGGGATTCTTGTGCAGCAGAGCATGCTCGTTGGCACAACGCAATTGGATTAAACGAGAACAACATATAATATAGATTGGCGCCTTTGGATGGCGCTCGATAAAGTGATTTTCTAATTCTGAAATGGTTTGGCATACGGTTTCGCATGTGCCGCATTTGATTTGTGGCAGCCATTGCTTAAGAAACTCATTCAGTCTACCGATTCTTGTGCCATTTAGTTGATCCGAAATGGCTGGTGAGACTTTCATTTGGGCAACTGTTTTACATGTGTTTAGTTTTTTGTGTTTGTTGGGCTGCACTTCATTGTCGGAATCAAGATCAATGATTTCAATTGGTGTTTCGCTGTCAGACGGCGATGGTGTCGCCTCCATGGAGCGATCGTCTTCTAATGACATATTTGCCACAGAAGATGGGCCCTGTTCGGATGCATTATTGTCATCGTTATTATCAGTAGCTTCATTTATGGGTGTTTTGGATACATCCTCTTGGTCCTTTTGAACAACGCCGGGTTTTTCAAGCAAATTCGTAAGTGTTGGAAAATTGTTCGCGAGTTGAGCATCATTTCTTGTATCAGTTTCTTTTTTTGGTGCCTTTATTTCGAGCAGTTTCAATTGTGCCAGTTGTATGGTTGTCTCGAAACTGTGAAATTCTGAAAGATATCGCCAGCATACGGAACATATCGAAGTTAGGTATTTGGCCTCAAATATATTGACAATCTAAAAGGAAAAGTATTGGAATTTATTGAAACTGCAGCCAGTTGTTCAATTTCATTAGGGTATAACTATATTAGTAGCTCCCTATAATAAGCGACATGGAATTCGGGTCTAATAAAAAATGTTAGCAATATGTTTCTCCTTGGCGTTTGAATACAAAACCACTTTCTTGTAAGCAGGACGACTTCTGATATTTTAAGATGGGAAAGGGAGTATACCATCCAGCCTATGATACCGGGCATAAAATGGGCTACTTAACTATGGTCACAACCTTATAGTTTTATAATGACTAGATATTTATACAAATCAACATCAAAAGACAGCCGAATATGTCGATTCGTTTTCATTAAAAAATATAAACTTCTGGGAACTACTTGAAATGCTTTTCGTTGCAGGACTTTCTTTTGTGAAGAGATTTAATGTTGAGAAATAAAATAGTGGAAAAATCTTTTTTTTGTTTTGTTAGAGCCATACTTTTTCGGCGTCGGTTCGAGGACATATGAAAATATTCATATTATTTTTAAACATAAAAAAGTAGGTAAAAAACCATAACAGCTTACCTGGGGATGGAAATATTTACAGGTAATTTCATGTAGGACATTGGCTCGGCCGTTTTCATCGTACAGGGGTTTACCATCCTCAAAATTATTTACACATAGACGGCAGACTTTAGTGTAATCCATGGTGGAACTGAAATATGAAATTTAAACAATTACAAATAAGTTAATTTAATTTTGCCTTTTTTAAATAAATTGCAAATATGCTTCTCAATACCTAGGACATTTACTGTGTGGGCTAACTTCTGTTCAAAATAACACATTACACATTCTATCAGTGTAAGCAGTTATCTATCGTCAGTCTGTCTTCTTGCAAAAACATTGGCTGACTGACTGAATGACTAGCTAGCTAGATAGGTATTGGCGGCAGCATGTGTTGATTCTATGTGAAGTTTTTTCCCTGCATTGATGTGCAAGGAGCATAAACGTGTTTGTGTGTGTGTGGGTTTAGTTCATGAAAATCGCATTACTTCCGTTAATGTTTTGGCACGTTTCTACTGCAAAAGTATGCGCATAAATCAGACGACAAACTCAACTCAAACTTAACTGATGTGAACATAAGCCTTCATATGGTTACATTAGCACAAAGTCGATGAGAAAAAAAATGGTTTTACACCCAACACACATGAAGGCATGCATCCCCCTACGTACATACACAGCGTATTGGCAGGATAAAGTTCGATAGTTCTAAGGCTGTGGGTTCGGGGGGCAGGAGCATGTAAGGAATTAAGTTTTGCCAGCTGGTGTGCAACATTCTATAGCACTTGGATTCTTTTTCTTATTCGGTTTTCATGTTTCGCCGCAAAAACAAAGAGTTCAAAAACAAAAGTACTGAATTGCCTGGTGTGGTATTTCTTTGCAACGTGAATGGGCCTATGTTCGGAATTCGGCAAAAAAAAATCTTTCAATATTTAACCAAAGAAGGTGTTGATGTTCCCGAGGAACGTCAAAGTTTTTCCTTCTTCTACAATTCTACATTGTTTTTTGTATATGTTCCTTGCAATGATGTTTCAACACAATTGCAAGGCTTGTCATTCATTTGCAGTAGGAAGAAATAATCTCAGTTTAGTTAAGAGTTAGTTTTTTTCCATGATTTGATGTTTTTCAAATCCACAGTAATTTTTCCTCAATGAAAGTTGCTTTTAAGTTCTGTTGGGGGTAGATTGTGATGTGCCAGAAATATCTGGATGGAGGAAAGTTATTGACAGGGGATTGAGGAATATTATGTCACAACATTGAAAGGACAAAATATTTGCTGTAATTTATAACACTGTGCAATGCTCCATAATATGTCATTTATAATACCTATAACATGGGTTATTTATAATATGTAAAAAACATTGTTTGGAACCAAGAGCTCTACCTCTATCTGGTAATCATGAAGCTGTATAAGTTATGTGGGAACATTCGAATAAGTATTCCTGCAAAAATAAATGAAAAATTAATCCACAATATACAATTCGATCGAAGATTGATACCAAAGATAATTCCCTGCAGTGGGCTTATATGCAAGGGGGGTGATAATGCAAGAAATCCAACACCACCCACTCCATTCAGTCCGTCGCCTGCTCTTGTACAATTGTCACAAAGTCGGCAAATTATTCGTTATACATATTTTAATTATACATACCACCGGCCAAATGTCTTCGGTTAACTCTTTCAGTTCAATAAAATCCCAAAATTTAATATTTATGTTATTTTCAAACAAAGAAATCTTAAATTATGCCGCCAGATTCCTTTGCAGCGAAAAAAATCTCTCATTTCATTCATTCACTGAACATACACCATCAAATGTCACAGTGCGTACACTAAACACACACCCACCCGATAGGCAACAACAAAACACACACACGCAGCATCCAAAGGATGAAATAACTAAATTTTGGAAGTAATCGATTTTCATTATTTAAATCCATATTTATACCTTATTTTTCATTACATTCACAGTAATATATTTTATTTTTGAATTGTTTAATTTATATTTTACACTTGTATTCAAATTTCGCAACAAACAATCGATTTATCCAAAGGCACGAAGTAAACAGACGCTTTACGTTTGGAATGGAATCTTGTTGAATGAGTTTACGAAAGAGAGGTAGAGCAAATGCATAGAAGAGAGATCAAAAAAGTGTTGCCAATGCTGTGATATGAACATGAAATTTGGCGGTTTATTGAAATGAATTGACGTTTTGCGACAATGTTTGGGTTTTTCGACTTTATTTCAAGAAAATTTATTAGAAATCATATATTGGAAGATATTGAAAGATCAAATTAAAAAAATATTCTTTCTGAGGATCTAAAAAAAATAAATAAAAAAGAATTTAAAAAATCTCTTTTTTCATTGGATATTACAAAATGCAAAAATTCTCATTAAAATTCAAGGTTTAGTATATCAGAGGGTAAGTAATTATAATTCTTAACGCATAGTGGTGGTGTAGTAAAGAGGTAACTAAAAACTCTTTGTATTTCGTCCGTGTAATAACTTATGAGTGATCACGGAAATAAGTCATGGTTAAAGAATATAGGTAGACGCATCGACGCAGCTGCTGGGACAATGAACTGTCAAACCAATTTTGGAATTAAAAATGTTGAATGAAAAATTATTTAAATTTGTAAAAATTGTTGAAAAATGCATATCTTTACAACCCACGATTTGTGTCGTATAAGAAAACATATAAAAATCTACTTATATTTGAAAAGAAATTTAAAAATTTTTGACATATCAATGCTCCCAAGCGTTGATGCATCTACCTGTATTTTTCTACCATGAAATAAGTAAACAATGTAAAAGTGCTGCCAATTCTTCAATTTCGCCTATTTCACAAGGTTGCATTTTTTCAAAAACAGTTTTTTGGTTCCTTAAAAGCAGTTTTACCGCTATTAAACAATGCACTTAAAAAATATAAGAACGAAATTAAGCTGTTTTTTATAAATTAAAAATAATTGATCTCTTCCAGATCTGCAAGAATGTAAAAGTTTTTACTACGATAACCGATTTTCCATTTATAATATCTGAATAAATTGAAAAACTAGTGGATTTTTGCAGGTACTGAAACAGAACATAGTTTATTTCTCTTGCGAGTTGAGCTTAATAATCGCAAATTTGTAGTGAAATATTGAACCTAATTTTCCCAAGGCAAAGTATTTATTTGGACAATCACATGGTATTTATTTCAAGTTCGGTTGGCATCGCCGGCTAATTCCTGCTTCGCAGCCCTACAGAAATACTCACGGCAAAACGTTGATTCTGCTTTGTTTGTACATAATCGATGCTTGGCGTTGAAGATTCCAATGAAATTGAATGCAAACTGTAACGCTTGGCGCAAAACCTTTTATTCTGTCTTGTTTTTAACCCGAATTTCTTTTCAATTATTATTTTCTGTTTTGGTTAAGGGGTTTATGCTACTTAGTTAAGCTTATGATGGCTTATGAATTAGTTCCGCCACGTATGTATTTGCTACTGAGTAGCTAAACTTAAAATGTTATTAGGGTGTGCTCATAAATTTGGCTGTTGTCTTTCGATTTTAGGTATGAAGGTGAAGTTTGAATGTTGATAATCTATTTTATCTTGAAGTCGCTCAAAAAACAAATACTTTTTAGAAGATTGGTAAAAAGATTCTGTTTCCTATGATCTGTACATTACTGAGAAGCTTTGAAAGCGTTTATTTCACATGAAGAGCTATTAGAACAATTTGTAAAATAAATTTAGACGTTATTTGATATTAGGACGCATATACAAAGTCCTTTATTGAAAAGTTTTGAATTACTAATTGGTGTAAACGCAAGGTTAGTTTTATTTAGCGTATGTAGCATGGCAGAAGTATACAGGTAGATGCATCAACGCATGGGAGCATTGATATGTCAAAAAAATTTAAATGTTTTTTCAAATATAAGTATATTTTTATATGTTTTCTTATACTAAGTCATTCGGAGGCTATTATAATTCGCGTTTTTCAAGAATTTTTACAAATTTAAATAATTTTGCATTCAACATTTTCAATTCCAAAATTGGTTTGACAGTTCATTGTCCCAGCAGCTGTGCCGACGCGTCTACCTATATTCTTCCACCATGGTATGTAGCAAAACTTGGCAGCACAAATGGAAGTAGATCAGTGCTGCCAAGGCCAAATCTCAGACGAAGCACAACATTCAGCTAAAATCAAACGCAAAGAATTGGTTTGCAAAATTATCATTCAATGAAGAAGCCGATAGAAAGATCTGTGTTTTGGAGGCTGTAGCTGTAATGTAGATAGACGAAGAAGGCGTTCCAAGCTACCAAAATTGAGAGCCAATTTGGAAAACGGAAGACATTTCTATCTGCCACTTAAGAAGGCATTAAGTATTTTAATGGCTTGGGGCCTTTTTATGGAACACTCGTAAGGCTTTAATATAGAAGATCAGTAAGGCTTTATTTCAGAGTTCCAATAAGAATTTATTCGTAAAGGCTGACAAAAAAATCCAGTACATATTTCTTATAAGAATCCAATAAGTCAGACTTATAATAGTAAAGAAAGGTATGATTCTAGGAGGACAGTAGGAAGTGAAACCTCATTTTGGAAGTCAAACAAGGACTTTCTAAAAAAGTCTTCCAAACAGTCTACATTAAGGTCCAGAGTTAAGAATATGTTGTAAATACAGGGTGAGATAAAAAAACTGCAATAAAATCAAGCGCCATAATTTCTATATATATTTTTTTTAATTTTATTAAATGAAAGCAAAAAATGTCGGAAAAAGCATCAAATTTCAGAATAAGTTTAGATTTTTTCGAATTGGTCACCTTTGGCACGAATTATAGCCTTCAAACGGCCAACGAGACCGTCACACGATGCTCGAATGTTGCTCTACGGTATTTTGACCCATTTCCGAGGAAGCGCTTGCTTGAGGTGATCGACACTTTGGTATTTTTTAGTGTCAAACTTGATTTCCAAAATACTCCAGACACAATAGTCCAATGGATTGGTATCCGGAGATTTTGGTGGCCATTATGCGCTGGAAGCGATGAACCTCATTTTGTAACCATTCTTGGGTGGCGCGTGCTGAGTGCGATGGTGCTGAGTTATATTGGAAAGTCCCAGGTCTGCGGCCAACCTTCATTTTTTCGCCATAATGCCACGACCGATTAATACGAGTGGAGAGCGACCATCGTTTGTTATGGCGCCCACACCATCACCATGGCCGGCGCTTAAATTCTGGTGGCCAACCGCAGGTGCACATTTTTAGCTAACCTCTTTGGCAAGTAAACACGAGCGGATCATTTTGTTTGTTTACAAACTGCTGGGCAACGAATGTTTTCTCATCGGAGAAAACTAAATTCCAAATTCGGTAGTTCACCACTTTCGCCCAAGCGAACAATTCTTTACCTCTTTTGAGTCTATTTTCTTTCTGTTGCGGTCTAAGTTGTTGACATTTTCGGAATTTCAATGGCTTCAGCCCGAGCTCATTTTTCAATATTTGCCGAATGGAATATTGCGATATGTTCAGCTCACGAGCCATTTTTCGGCCACTGCGACGCGGGTTTCGATCAAGTCGCTTCTTTATTTTTCGAACTATTTTTGCTGATGTTGCTGTTTTCTTCCGTCCAATTCCTTGACGTCGGTCGGGCTACGCTACCAGTATCACGGTAACGAGCGATGGTATCAGAGACACAAAAGATTTATT